ATGAGAACCCTCAGAAAAGCACGAGGAGCCAGAGGCAAGCAGCAGCTGAAAGAACAAGACAAATGCAGAAGATGAACACAAGAGTCCACCATAATGGAAGTCAATGTGACCTGGGAAGCCATCAGCTCAATGGGCTAGAGTTGAGAGCTTGAGTCATGAAGCAGAAGCAATGCCTCCAAGGTGCTAACACTCAAAGCACTACTTTAATTTAAATTGATAGTTAATCTAATTTCCCACAATATAAACTTCTAAGACCTGCTTAAAGTAGCCAGAATTCAAGAGCTTTATTTGTTATATCAGAAAGCAGAGGCACAGTTGAAGCGATTAAACTAAGAGCTATTTACTCATGAGTAGCAGTATTTTGATTTCCCCAACCTTCACAAGGTAATGTATTTATCAATTATGTTATTCTGCACACTTATACATTAAAACAGAGAAGCTATATTTAAAGTAAATGTTCATTACAACTAATATTCATCTTTACCAACAACAATGCTGTCTAAGCTGTACAATGAAGCAGGAGAGAGGCTCAGAACAACAGGAAGCCAGTCATTAACGTAGACACATACACAAGCTAGATTTCCACCTGTTATATCACATACTTTGAAGTAGCACCCCCACCTCCTCAGTCCTGACTGCCAAAGGCAGACTATATAATGAACCATCTGTACCTTAACAGTAAGAGCCAATTGAGATGGGCTGATAATACCAAAGAAATCTCATTTTTAAATTCATTTTCCCCCTAGTGCACTGTTAGTCTGAGCAACATTTTTAATTGCATGATAAATCACATATTGGCAAGAACTTAACTTTGTAAAACTTGAATTTTTTAATGTGACTTTGACGGTCTTTATGGTGGGTTTCTTTGCAGCTCCCCTCCAACAGAAGGAAAAGCTGGCCATATGAACCAAGCCACTGGGAGGAGAAGTCTGCAGCTATGTGGCCTTAAAAGAAGAGACAGAAATCTTGGCCAGTATTATAATTTGACTGAACTATTCATTAGGCTTTTTCAAGAGTGCAATGTGGTTCTTTGAACAGTCATATTAAGGAATAACTGAAAAGAAACAGCTATTTAAAAGCAAAGATTAGGTGCGATTTTTTTTCCTACTGAAATGTTAAAAGCTCTCAGAGAAACTTTTGCTCCTGAAGCAAACACCATCAAACCTTTACAAAAGAAATCAGCTGATTCACCGCCTCACCAAGTAACCAAATACATGAAGTGTTCATACTACAGTACTTTTTAATGGCTAACACGAACATGAAGCATTTGCTAACAACCAAAGACATTCCTAAAATCATGCTGAACACACTTATCAAAATAGACTTCCAGTAGAAAGTCCAGTATTTCAGTAAATGTTTTAAAGGATGGGAATGATATGATTCATCCACTTCCTATCTTTGTTTGTTTTGTAACTTAGTTATTTCTCTTTTTTACCTGACTTATGTACAGCAGTTTCACCCTAAAGCTCATAACTCAAGAACAAGTTTTCTGCTTAATAAAGTTTATGTGTAAGGTTATTACAGAGAACAGAAATTCATGTATGTTCTCTCCTCCTTAAACTTAGAAAAGCATGCAAACCTACTTGAAAGATAAAGACAGTCAGTGGCCACACCTCCTGTTAGGGCTCCTCCTCCCAGCAAGGTGATCTCTATCCTATCTCATACCTGAACTGTCCCCATCCATTCTGTCCCAGGCAACCAGTACTGAGGGCACATCTGCCCTAACAAGCACTGTAAGAAGCACTAGGAAAACCACCAGTCAGTCTCATGCATGGAGCTTACAGCTTTGTCATAAACTCTTGCAAGTGAGCACTAGCCCATAGCATACTACAGAACACTCGCAAAGAGAACGTGAGAGAAAAATGTAGCAGGAAAGCAGCAACTCCTAAGGTCAAAACCCAAGTGCATATGTGTCTGCACCAGACTGCGGGGTAGAGGAAAGGCAAGGAAGCTCATGAGAATGACTAAGTAACAAATAAGTTGACCTCACAATCAAGTTGGATTTAGCCTAAAAAAGAAGAGAAAGGAAAAATAGAATCTCTCTCTCTCTCTTTCTCTCTTTCTCACAACAACACCCTCCCTCCATACCTGTGTGTGTGTGTGTGTGTGTGCGCGAGAGAGAGAGAGACAGAGAGAGAAAGAGAAAAAGAGAGAGAGAGAGGAGGAGGAGAAAGTGACAGAGACAGAGAGAGAGAGAGAGAGAGAGAGAGAGAGAGGCTGATTCGCTGTCATGGTACCACAAAAAACATTACAGGAGAGAAAGAAGACACCCCATTAACAATATATTAAATACTTCCTTAAGCACTATCTTTAGCGCCAAATTTTCACAGCCTCTTTACGGGAACCACCATTAAAGGGGGAAAAACAAAGAGGAATAACTTACCTCTGGTTATTTAGAGCTAGATTTTGGAGGTCGAGAATAAGCCCAGAACTGGCTACTCTGCACTGCATCTATGCTGTTTCCCAAGAGATAATGGCCCACAGAAGGGAACTGAAAAACCACTCCTCAAAGTTACAAACTGGACTTGTTACTATCTTACTGTCTAAGAAATACTAGGTGGTACTAGCCACTGATCATACTAACACTTAAACCAGAGTGACAGGCCCACAGCTGCCCACTGATTGCATCTAAAAGTTGATTTACCTAGAAGTGCTAGGTGAGTGGTTCTGTCAGGTACAGGGATGATGTTAGAGGAGACTGTGCTGAGGACAGAGATCCTACACACGCTCTGGAATTCTTACTCAACTTCGGAGTGAACCTAAAACTGCCTGTGCTTTGAAATATTTATTCATGTTTTTAAAAAATTAAATAATCAGTAATTAACTTTGGGGGAAAGGCTTGTAACTGTTAAAAACATCTACTATAAGGCAGATGCAGAAAAACTATAGGGGCAAATTTAAACATACACGCATGCACACACACACACACACAAACAGGGACAGTTCACATGGAATGGCAACCACTGCAAGTCCATGTTACTATTACTTTCATTCCATCCTACCGTTTGCAGTGTACCTACCCCCTTTCTCCTGGGAAGCAGCAAACTTCTAAAGCTGGAGTCCACATTGTCCTCTACTCCCTGCCTGACAAAAAGGATCATTTCTGCTTTTGTTCAAGTCCTATCTAACCTATACTTCTCCAAGAAGCATAACAGGATTATAACACAATGGTAGATAAATAAATGTTGCTATGCCAATCTCATGCTAATGCTCATAGAACCTGTTTCTAGACTTTTAGTTGTGGTTAGTACACTCACAGAACAATTACCATGATAAGATAGAAGACAGCACAGCAAAGATTTTTGAACAACTTTATGAGTTAATGGGGCAGTAATAAAGGTGGAGATAGGATGAGTAGGAAATAATATTAAAAATCAGAAAGGCTGACTTATTATTACATACTGTTCTAACAAGGAACAATGAGTGTCTGAACAACTAAGTAACTGTGTAGACTAGTCACAGCAGAAAAATCAAAGTAGCCAATGCATGAATAGAAGTATTCATATCCATCTCTCTTTAAGTCCAGTATTCTAAAACAGTCACCCCATTCTCTGAACTCTTCTACCAATTCTATGCATATAACCTACTGAGTTGTTAGTATATATATCCCCATGCTATTCTTGAGGTATCTGTTTAGGGTATGTGTATGATCATCCCCCATGGATAATAATACACATGTATATTCATATCTTTTACATAAAAAATTATAGGATCTCACATAAATTATAAACATCCACTCTTCTATGTAAATCATTCTTATTTTATAATTAATATAAATGCTATAGTAATAGTTGCCTTATTGTAGGTTTCAGGCTATGACAAAAAAACATATATATATGTTCAGTATAAATGCAACTATATAAAGAATGTAGTCATGTGACAGGATGACTGTACATATAGGCATGTGCACATATGTTTCACTTTCTTACCTGGATCTTAAATCTGCATCATAAATTTCTTTGTATTTAGCTTCCATTTTTTCCAACACCTACTACAATGCTTAGGAACCCCTCACAAACCTTTCTTCATAGACTGCATTTACCATGGTTAGTGTGGTAGTTTGAATAAGAATGGCCCCATAGGCTGATATATTTCATACTTCAATGCTTGATTGTTAGGGAGTATTATTACTACTTGATAAGAATAAGTGGGATAAGAAAGTGGAGTATGTCAGCTCTTGTTGGAAAAAGTTTGTCACTGTGGCTTGGTTTTGGGATTTCAGATGCTGAATCTAGGTCGTGTGTGTGTGTGTGTGTGTGTGTGTGTGTGTGTGTTCCTGCTGGGTGCTGATCTAGATGTAGAGCTCCTCTTTAGCACAATATCTTCCTGGCATGATGACAAAGAACTAAGCCTCTGAATACGCAAGCTATACCCAATTAAACATTTTCCTCTGTAAGAGTTGCCATGGTCAAGGTTTCTCTTTACAGCAACAAAAACCCTAAGACAGTATCTATTTTTTTCACAAAAGGAAATGTCATTGCCTCAATTTTTTTTATTTAAATTATAATATATTTTCAAAGTATTTTTCTCTGAAAATTAAGCCTCATTAACCACAATGGGTTCCAAGTATTCTATGTGTCAATTTATAATGTTTAAACCACACTATCCAGAAGAATCCATGTAGTTTTTTCTTAACAGAGGCTGACCTTCCCCTTTTCTACCTGCCATACTTCAGAAGGCTTCAAAAATAATAAGTGAAAGGACAACCACAGTGACCACCATAAAAGACTAGCATCCTGCTTAACCATGACTGGATTCAGGGTGGCCTTATCAATCTACTTATAATTTCCACTTCAATGGCAGTGCATTCTTTAGTTTTAGTATTATTTTTAGAAGCTTGACAGCAAATATTGGGAAATTATATTGGAAAAAGATTACCAATTCACTAAAATTTGTTAGCTAAGAACTTTGCAGATGTAGAACATAAACCTGCATGCTATACACAGTTTTGTAGACTGTCTTCCAGAAAATTGCTATTCTAGAGAAGTTCAATGACCTACCTTGAAGTTCTCCACTTCGACTGTAGAGCTCCCTTCTCTGTTCTCGCAGATAGGCACTCATGCTGATAGCATGGGAGGAGGATTCGAACCTAAAACACAACATACAATACCACATGGTTAAGCCACATAGGTGACATCTATCCACATGCTCCCAAAATATCCTATTCTATTCTGGTCTAACATTTCCTGGTGTATAGAAATGACAACACTTTGGCTATACCATGTAAAGGCCAGGGAGAGCTGCCAAACCTTGTTTATAAACAATGCCCTGGCTAGTGTTCCTCTACAATAGTATTTGGATATTGTCCTTATTGTTAAGAATAATTCTGACATACATCCACTTAAAGTTGCCTATAGATCATTATCATCATTGTTGTGTCATCATCTGCCAACATGTCTTCATATACAGCAAAAGTGTATCCTACAAAGTCATTCTAATTATGCTATTCCCCAAATCAAAACCCACCACTGACAGGTTGCTACCTCAGCAAACACACTGGCTATTCAGAGCATTTCTCTTCTTGACTATCAGAGTTAAACTACTAGTGCACATAAGATTCTACAAATGAACAGTGCTATCAAGGCAGCAAGGTATCACTGGTCTCTCTATAAATGTTCTTAAAAGACTTTCCAAATGGCTGCTAGTTTTTGGCCTAACAACAGCATCATTTAAATATCCTCCAGGAACAGGTTATAAAGGTCAAAAACATGGAAAATAGATTTACAGTAAAGAATGGGTCTTAAAAGCTAAAATAAGAAACACAAAACAAATCAGTCACATAGAATACTTTATAGGTATGAATAAAACCAAGTAAAATTATGACTATATCAAGTAGCAACTCCTTTGATGAGTAACAGATTCCATTTCAAATCTGATATTTTCAAAGCCAGAATCAGAAGCTGACAAAAGAAGAACTCTTCTAAGAATGTTGCCTCTAAAGGTCAACAGCATCAGGACAGAGCTGCAGAATCCATGGGGTCAGTAACTGGCAACAAAAAGGCAGCATCATTTTCTTAATCATGTCACTTTTATCCAGTCCTTGACAAGGAAGATGAATACCAAGATGAGTAGCAGCGTGTGAAGGAAACACTTCAGTTACTTGATGTGCTCTCTGTACCCCACCAAGAACTGAGAGGCATAAAGAGCCAGAAGGAAGGCAATGTGTGCAGTACTTCAAAAGTGCCACCTGCCAGTCAAGTGCAGAAAAGAAGCCACTGACCTCCAAAAGCATGCTGACAGCTATTGATCAGGAAAGGCAAAGGATAAAACAAAGTCTCAAGCAAAGAATAAAAAAATATACTTTATACAATAAAAGAGAACTTAAAAACAATTAACCTTGGCTAAGGGCAATTAAGAGGGTAATAAATCCCTCCACAGCTTCAATAGGAACATATTACAGCTCTCCACAATCTGAAAACTTTCTGACTTGATAGACTTTCTACTCATGAATTCTCTTCATGATTATACCAAGTCATAGACTGAGATAATTTTATAGTAAAAGAGGCATGAGAGATTCTTCAGTCTTACCTCCTTATTTTAAAGCCAAAGGCATTGAGGCATGCTCAAACATAAGAGCTACTCAAGCCTGTATGGCTCATTAACAGTGGAACCAAGTTAAAACTGAGCAGAATTGTCCCAATTATGGGACACTGATGAGTTTTATTACTCCCCAGTAATAAACAATTATTTAAATTAACTTGGGTTGTTTTGGTTTTGTTTTGTTTTTTTGTTTTTTTGTTTTTTTAGAAATTAGGGGCTTTGTTTTCCCCATACTCTTATCTCACAGTTTACCCAATGCTAAATGACTGAAAGTGATTGCATGGTCTGGGGTGAAGACTGTGATGGCTTAAAGCACGGCATGTGAAAACCCTGAAGACTGCTTTGTCTAATAAGCTTAGAAGGGCTTACTGCTTAGATTTTATTGTCAAAATGACCAAAACCTGGGGAAAGAGGACATTAACGAAGAACACCCTTGATCAGATGAGCCTGTGGCGCATTGTTTTTTAGTTCCAATTGCTGTAGGAGGGCCGACACCACTATGGGTGTCACTATCCCAAGGCAAGTAGGCCTGCATTGTATTAAAAAGTTGGCTGAGAAACTGAGAAGTGTAGAGAAATTTTAATGCACCAACATGGCTGGTCTGATCAAATCCAAAGCCTTCTAGGTCTGTGTGATCTGGCTAGAAGATAGAAATGTCTTTAATGCTCATCTTTAATCCCAAACAATGAAGCTAAAGTTAGTAGGGGGAAAAAAAAAACATTTTTGAAAGTAACATCTAATTGAGAGGCAGACAAAGTGACAAATCAGAGCAAGATTTGACCGAATAGGATAGGCCCAACTCTCATGAAAAGAGAGAGGAAAGAGAAGCTACTTGACAGAGCAGTGCAGAGAGAGAGAAAGAGAAAGAGAAAGAGAAAGAGAAAGAGAAAGAGAAAGAGAAAGAGAAAGAGAGAGAGAGAGAGAGAGAGAGACAGAGACAGAGACAGAGACAGAGACAGAGAAGGCAGTTTTACCAGGCTATTTTACAGAGACAGGCTGTAAAGAGAACAAACTAGATATATGCAAAGACACAGCCAGAGAATAAGAATCAAGAAGATTAGAACAGATTGCTAGAGTTAGTTTGAGGCCAAGTAGAGCAATTCAGTCAGAAGCTGAGAGAAGCCAATTTGAGTCAGTCAGTTGGAGAGGCATTTGAGCCAGAATAGTTGACTTGAACCAGCCAGCCAGAGTTCAGAAAAAGGATGAGGATATTGAGCAGTAAGTCTCAGAGACTGAAAACATTCTAGGCCTAAATTAGATTGTACAGACTCTAGAAGCTTCCAGGACTAGACCTATGTTAGCAGACAGAGGCAGTAAGCCTTGGAGAAGACAATTATTTACATCAGGCAAATAAAAGATATGTTTACATCTGATACTCAGAATAGTTGGATGAAAAGCCCAATGTGATTAGAGAAGAAGAAAGCTCATCAACATTACAGAAGGCAGAAGACAGCTGACAGAAAAGTGACAGAGGACAGGAGACATCTGATAAAAAGCTGCATAGGACAAATTTGCCTGGAAACATTTCCAGAATAAGCATCAATTCTCTGAGTTCAGTAGGATGCCCAGAGAGACTCGGGAAGCGGTGGAATCATCAAACCCAGGAAAAGGAACAACACAGGAGCCTCTAAGACATCAAATCACAGTAAGGTACTCCAAAAGACAAGATTAATTGCACAGACAGACTTCCCCTGCATTAAGAAATGGAAAACTCAGCCAGACACTCAGGAAGCAGAAGCAAGTGGATCTCTAGGAGTTGGAGGCCAGTATGGTCTACAAAACTGAGTCCAGGAAAGCTAGGGCTATACAGAGAAAAAACAAAAAAGAAGAAAAAAAAAAAAAAGGGAAGGGGACTCCATTTAAGATACCTTGAGAGCAATAATAAGTGCTGAGAGGATAGAAACATAACTTGAAAGCCATTGCAGTACTTACTGCAACTGTGACTGCCATAGTAACCTACACACACACTTTCAGTTGCAATCTTTATATATTTCCTCTCAAAAAAGGGTTGGAAAAAATAACTGTACACCAAGAAAAATTAACTATGATCATACAATGGCTTGACAGACAAAATACAGAGGAAGGAGGAGAACAGGAAATGTTTAATTGTGAACCTATGGTACTTAATGAAATTAATGATCAAATTAGATAGCCTACTGAACTTACAGCACCAGCTCTTAATGAAATTGAGGAAAGGCAACCACCCCTACTGGCTTTCCCAGTTACCAAGGAAGAAATGCCAGAAAATGGTAGAAATTCAAAAGGAAACACCTAACATGTAATCCTGTTAAAATACAAGATCTTAAACATTTTAAAGAATGAATACTAACTTATGGAATGTATTCACTGTATGTGATACAAATGTTAAATGCCTGGGCTACAGGAAACAGCATTATTCCCCCAAACTGGAAAGACTTAAGAAGGAGATATACTAGAAGCTGGTTCTCAATTAGTAAGGCTGGTGACATGGTGGTGAGAAGAAACTGTAATTATGAAAATTCATAATAGGTCTAAAGGTGTTGATATCATGAAAGATCAATTGCTAGGTGAAGGTCAATTTCCAGATTTCAGACAGCAGCTAAAATTTGATGACTTTATTATTATACAATGTACTTTAGTAGCTTTAAGAGCCTGGGATAAAGTGGAGGAATAAGGGAAAACCTCTACGTCATTCACAAAGATTAGACAAAGCCCCAGAGAAACTTTTACTGACTACTTAATTAGGTTAACATCTGCTTTAAACAAGGCAGTATCAGATCTAAATATAAAACAAATACTAACTGAAACTTTAGCTGTTGAAAATGTAAATGCAGAATAGAAAAGAGTTCTTGAACGTTTTTAATTCTTTATTAATTATACTTTATTCACTTTGTATCCCCCCTGTGGTTACCTCCCTCCTCCCATCCCAATCCCTCCTTCCTCTACCCTCAGCATGCATGCCCCTCCCAAAAGTCCACTGAGAGGGGAGGTCTTCTTTTCCTTCCTTCTGATCCTAGTCAATTAGGTCTCATCAGGAGTGGCTGCATTGTCTGCTTCTGTAGCCTGGTAATGATGCTTCCCCCTCAGGGGGATGGAACCCACTGGGACACTGAACTGCCATGGGCTACATCTGTGCAGGGGTTCTAGGTTATCTCCATTCATGGTACTTGGTTGGAGTATCAGTCTCCAGAAAGACCCCCATTGCTCAGATTTTTTGGTTCTGTTGCTCTCCTTGTGGAGTTCCTGTCCTCTCCAGATCTTACTGTTTCCCACTTCTTTCATAAGATTCCCTGCACTCTGCCCAAAGTTGCCCATAAGTCTCATCTGAAAGCCTCTACCCTGCAGACTATCAAAGCAGATGCTGAGACTTACGGCCAACTGTTGGGCAGAGTGCATGGAATCTTATGAAAGAAGTAGGAAATAGTAAGATCTGGAGAGGACAGAAACTCCACAAGGAGAACAACAGAACCAGAAAATTTGAACACAGTGGTCTTTCAGAGTCTCATGCTCCAACCAAGTACCATGCATGGAGATAACCTAGAACCCCTGCACAGATGTAACCAATGGGAGTTCAGTGCCCAAGTGGGTTCCATAGTAATGGGGACAGGGACTGCCTCTGACATGAACTGATTGGCCTGCTCTTTGATCACCTCACCCTGATGGGGAAGCAGTCTTACCAGGCCACAGAGGAAGACAGTGCAGCTACTCATGATGAGCTCTGATAGACTGGGATCAGAAGGAAGGACTTGGGGAGGGGCATGCATGGAGAAGGGGGAGGGAAGGTGGGATTAGGAGGGGAGGAGAGAGGGGGTTTATGGGGGAATACAAAGTGAATAATGTGTAATTAATAAAAGTTAAAATAAAAAATATTTTTAAAAAGTTACTTTTCCACAGAGGGAAAGGGCAAATGAGTAAGCAGTGCTATCCTTTCCCTCCACACACAGTGCTTGTTTTAGTTCCTGCCCTGACTTCCTCAATAATGGTATGAACTAGAAATCTAAGCCACATAAGGCCTTTTCTTCCCAGCTTCCTTTTGGTCTTAGTGTTTATCACAGAAAGAAAAACTATATAGGGCAAAGGTGAAGTGTAGCCTTCAAAGAAGAGAGGAATAGGAAGTGAAGAAGAGAGAGAGAGACAGGCTGAGTGACATAAGAAAGCCACAGTAATATGCACCCAAAACAGGAGTATAAGCCTGAAGAGAGAGAATGGCACTGAAATGACTTGGGTGGGGGGAAGGGGTTGAAGTCATATTGCTCCAAAAATATAATTTATAATCGAGTTCAAAGATAAAAAAATTTTCAAAAGTTAAACGCTAAATAAAAACATGAAAAAATAAAATATATACAATGTACATATTTCTTTTCACCTTTTTTTTTTTGCAAATAAAATTGTGTGGTGGTTTACAATGATCATCATTCAAATTTAGGGAAGAAAACAGCATATGGATATGCTTAAGCTCAAAGGCCATGAGCACAGAGGACCTTCACTAGTGTAGTTTAGGTGTTACTTTTAATATCCTTTTTGCAGCAACTCTGAAAAAAAGAAAAACTGTCTCTGCAAGCTACTGTGATTTGTCAGTTGTGTTAAAGCTTTTTACTTTCAACCAGCTGGAGGCATGAACTAGATTACAGAATGAGAGACTTCTCTCGTCTTGTCTATATCCTTTCACTACTCCTTGCTGGCTACAATGATTTACATGATTTACTTAATTTCTCTCAAACATCAGTTTATGTTTTTGAGGATGTACATATTTATAGTCCTTAGTAAAGAAAAACGGTTAGGTATTACTACTAGAGTTGCTGAAATTTTGTTAATGCCAAATGAAATTGCTTAATTGGAATCATTTTGATAAACTTTCCTTGTGTAGAATTCTGCACACAGAAAACATTCAATCAGCACTATCAGTATGATCAGTGTCAGTCTTATAAACTATTAACTGTCACCTAAAAACGTATATTCTGAGCACATGGTGTGGAAGAGTTTACTAAACTGGTAATTAAGAAAAAATTTAAAAGGTCTCTGTTGCTCCTTTATTAAACATCTAACCACATAAAGCCCAATTGTGCTTAGCTAGGGAGAGCTGCATAACTGTATTTAAAAGGTTATTTCTTAGCACTTGAGGATTTTCCAAACATATTTTATTTTCTTTCATTTCATATAAAACTCTCCAGAAATACCAGGAAAGTTCTTACGTTCCTTGATTTTATATAATACAGGCTTTGCAAATGTAATCAGAGTTATAGATAGTCCAATAGCCATCCCAAAACTTAACCTGACTGAAGGCAATAGGAACCAAAATAAACTATGTCCACTTCTAACAAATTGTTCCATGGCAGTTTCAGCTAGTAAATGCGTGCTGTGGAGCTGGCTCACAGCTTACTATTTCTCTGTGATACATACTTGAAAAGAGAATTCTTTGGCCTTTGTGGTTTCTTCTTGGCAAAAAAGGCTGCAAACTCTCGTCCGGTACTGGCATAGCTTAGTTGAGCTGATGGTTCTGATGCAGTACGTGTGTTCTTCATATCCAAGTACTCAGTCAACAGCATCTGTGCAATCAGGTGAGCAGTTGAATTTAAACATGTGCTAACTTCAAGGATATTCTAAAACCTCATCTCAGACTTCCAGAATATATTAACCTGGATCTTCTTCCTTCTAGTTGAGATATGAGAAAAATCTTTATTACAGCTCTACAATCATATATTTGTTATCAATACACAAGGAACAGGATGCTGAAAGCCTCATAGCATGTCAGGTCACCTGCTGAGGGAATTAGTCAAAACTCTTGTTTACTCAGCACTAAATCCTCATTATTCCAAAGTATGCAGAGTCAGTGGCAATGGCCTAATATTTACTCAGTACTTACCGTGCTCTAGACAAAGTACTGATCTATTAGATGTATGGAGCTGTGGGTTCAGAGAGGTTTGAGAGCTACAAAGTAGTCTATGGTGGCTAATGCCAGAGTCGATACTGACCTTTCATTCTGCCAGAATTGCAGCTAGGCATGCTGGCAAACCTATCAAGAAAAGACCTAGGAAAAGGGGCTAAGAAGTACAGTGCTGCCGACCTCTAAAGACTTACTAGAATTGCTGTTCAACTTGAAATGAGGTGATTAACCACTTTTAACAGATATTCCTTGTAAGATCAACTCACCTGAGAGCCACAAAAATTGAAGCCCATGCTAAGATCAATTATGGTTACCAGAATTCTAAACACATTCATAACAAAATACAAATCTGGAACAGAAAGCACAATGTTTCCTAAGAATACCTATTAATGCTAAAGCAGTTAAACTCAAAACAACCAGCCACACGTCACAGAAATGCTTTCAGAGACTGAAGGTCTTAGTCTCACTAGTAACAAACTGAACATTAAACTCTATTTTAAATATCATCATTGCAAAGCAATTCTTAGGCATATGAGCATTATTGATTAAGTTTGAAGGTGATTTAGTCTCTACCATAAGCAAACACACACCACTAGGTACTTAAACACAAGAAAAATTTTAAACATTAGCTTTTTTTTTTTTTTTTGAATCTCAAATCTATTAAGTCTGAATTTGAAGAAGCAGAATTAGGACTGGGTCTTAGAATTGCAAGTGGCCTAATTTCAACCTGGTTCTAAATCCTGTGTTCGTGGCCAGAAGGCTCCACAGTGCTGTATATTCAAACTTTTTTTTTTCCAAAACAGTATTACAGGTAGAAATGCCTTCTGTATAATAAAAATTGTAAGAGAAAACCACAAAATAGTGCAAGAGAATGGGAAAATGTTTTTATTTACTTACAAGAGCAGTGGGTTATTATTATCCATCAAGTTCATAAAGCAATAAAGTAACAAATATCATTTCTAATGAACATCACTCATCTAGTATCAGGGAGACACTGAACTGAATCTCTACTAACAGCTCAATGGAGGAACTTGATCAAGCTGTACATTCTGATAGCTGCTGGCAAGACATTCAACTATCTGATCAAAAGAAAACTAGAAAACTCAAAAATAATTTCAAAGTGATATAGCATAGAACGGATTTTTACCAACTCACTGTGTCCAGTGTTGGTCTTAACAACACAACAGAGAGAGGCTCCAGCTAAAATAAACCAAACAATTCCTGTAAGGCATTGCTTAATGTCACAGGATTCAATTACTGGCCTTGCACAATAAATCACTGAGCAGGCAAGGCATAACTAAGAAGTAGGCCCCAAACCCAGGTATCTTTAAGATCAGTGTTCTTTCTCTCCACATCAGTAACATCCCTGAGTTATTGCCATGCAGCACTGTTCATGGGCTATTTCTCTTCACCAGTTTATCTCTATCTACAAATAGATCCTACTTCCATCTTCTCAACAAAATTTACCTTTGGTTATTATGTGATATCTGTAATCTTTAATTCCTTTTTGTCTTTAGGTTCCAAAGTTCTAAAAGTAGCCTTCACATCTACTGTCTCCTTTTCCATAATGTGGTTTAATGCTGGTGTCTCTCACAAAGTGTACTCCCACATGTGTGAGTGAACACTTTACATAACTTAGTCACATTTCAATAACAAAATCAAATTTGGTAAAATGTGAATTATTTTCAGATACAAGCAGCTATTCCCTTCAGTTTTAAGTGCAGGATTGCTTTAATAATTTTTAATTATAATTAAATCAGTTCCAATATTCCCTTTTCTCCTCCAACAGTTCCTTTGTACTTCTAAATAGCAACAACAACAAAAAAATTGATTTAGAGGTCAAAAACAAATGCCAAAGTTTATGGATGTTTTACATTTAACTTGTAAGGCTTTAATGTATCAAAATAAAGGTAAGAAAAACAAAGACACAGCTGGAAAGAACTTTGAAATCTATGTATCTTTAAATGATACCTTGATTCACCATATTTTTGAGGACCTGCAGTGCTGAGTGGCTCTCTCCACAATGCAAGAATGTATACAGCTTTAAAGAATATAAAAATTGAAGCGAGGGCAGGCAGTACTGCTATTGCACTCTTACATTAGCATTTGCTATGGTGTTAGTTAGAAATCCCTTGATGTAAATGCAGCAGTAGATATTACTCAGCTATTAAAAACAATGAAATCATGAAATTTTCAAGCAAATGGTTGGGAAAATATGCCTTTCTATGTGTAGGGAAAAATAGAAATGCATAAATTCATACATTTTCTGAGATACTACTAATATCATCCTGAATGAAATTCTTACTAACCACTTAATCTTATTTATTTAACATATTACCTACAGAAATTTTGTAGCTATGCATGCATAGTTTTCTAAAACTACCTATGGAATTTGTAGGCTTAGAATTAACATGACTCTGCAAACAAGAAAAAGATGACTTTTTTTTTTTTTTACAATGTATTCATCATATATCCCTATTGAAGCCCCCTCCCTCAACTCCTTCCAGTCCCATCTCCTCTCCTCTTTCCCACTACTCCTTTTCCTAGTCTGCTGAAAAGGGGGAGTTTTCCTCCTCTGCCATCTGCCCATAGCTTATTGAGTCTCATAGGGACTGCCTGGATCCTCTTCCTCTGTGGCCTGCCAAGGCCCCATCTCTAGGGACAAATGATCAAAGAGCAGGTGAATTCATGACAGAGGCAGCCACTGCTCCACTTACTCAGGAACCCACAAGGAGACTGAGCTGCCTATCAGCTACATCTGAGTAGGGGGTCTAGGTCCTCTCCATGCATGGTCCTTGGTTGGTGTGTCAGTCTCTGCAGGACCACATGGACTCAGATTTTTTAGTTTTGTGGGGCTCCTGTCTCCTCTGGATCATTCTATCTGACCACCTCCCTTCTTCCATAAGATTCCCAGTGCTCTGCCCAAGGTTTAACTATGTGTCTCAGCATCTGCTTTGATCCCCTGTTGGGTGGAACCTTTCAGAAGACCTCTATGGTAGGCTCCCATCCTGTTCCCTCTCTATGAACCCAAGTATTTCACTCCAATAAAAACCTGGAGTTTCTCCAAGGCTTTTTCCTGCAGAAGTTTGTTTTCTTCCCTTTGTGCTTTGTTTTCTTGGTTTCATTTTTATGGGCTTTTTTAGCCATCTCTGAGTTCAAGCCAAAGCTTTTCTTTGTAACTATGATCCCTAACACAGCACCATAAACAGTGTAGCTGCTTGCTAGTAGGTTAACTAAATTGAAAGTAATACAACCTAAAGGGCATCTCCTCACTGTTGTTCCACATTCACAGATGAGCTCCCTAGGATAGAGCTACAGCACCCATGGTGAAGCGTCAGGTTTTCTCAGGTACATTAATTTACTCACATCATGGAAGTAGCATTTATTAAATTTCTGCTCCAATGCGATAAGTGCTACCGTAATGACCCCAAATAGTTAATGCATCTTGGAAAATAGCCAAATTGCTCTCTGGAGACAGTTTATTCAATTAAGTGCCTAAGACCCGGTATTTTCAATTAGCAGTTTAGTTACTAAAGACTCTTTCATATTGGTTATCTGTAACATGTGACTATTGACACATATTAAAAAATCACTTATAAGTCATTCAAAATGAGATCTCAGAAATAACAGGTACAGAACCAGATTCAATAACACTCACTTGTATCTATAGAATGCTAGGATTCTATTCGGGTTTGAAAGGAATGTTAAGACTGGGAGGTAATGCAGTTTGAAAGCACTAAGGATAAAGTACCTGGATACAGAGATAAATAAAAGAGTCCACAAGGAAAACCTCAATTGGCTATTGTCCCTAACTAGGAAGGTTTTAATAAGTACCTAAGTTCTGCTCCTGTAAGAACCAGTCAGCTCCCACCCTGTGCACAAAACCTTTTAAGTACTTTCAGGATTGCCAGCAACTATCACAAATGCGTTTCCAGACCTGGCAATATATATACAACTGGATATTTTACTCTTACTTATCACTTAACCTCCTTACATTACTTGATGAAAAAGTACTTTGCTTAAAAGCCTGTATTATCACAATTTTATAAAAGCTCAAATATTTTAAAATTCTTTGTAATTAAAACACAATTAAGAACACTCACTCTGGACTTTTATAGGTTTACATTTTCAAGAAAGATTCTATTTCTAACATAAAATTTAACATCTACATTAGGTTTATGATTCTTGCATACTGTTTCTACTAAGAAGTTATATGTTAATTCAGAACACAAAACTAAATTATTTTATTTATATGTTTCAAATGAAGTTGATAATAAATTGAAAGGTTAATCAAATGAGATACATTGATGATATAAATTAGTTTATAGTAAGTACAGAAACTCTAGGGTCAAAATGGAGAACTGATAATTCTGATGCAAAAATTTAATTACTTTAGATTTGTTTTCTCATCTAACTGTATTTTGTTTGAATACTTCTCTGTTGTATTATGATCTCTTACTCAAAAACAATTTGTGATCATAAAAATTTCACAATACAGAAATAATATAAAGGTTCAAATACTCTTTAACTGTAGTTATATGCAATATGTATTGCTAATTTAGCACTCTTATATTTGGCATCATTATTTTACTTATCATCTCTAAATACAAAAAAAGCAGTGCCCCCCCCAAATACACACACATTAAGTACCTTATTAATTAT